ACTTTTTAAAAAAAATATACTAGTATGTGTTGTATTTATATATTCTTTGGTTTGCGAAAGTAATGTATTTAATATTCTTGGGGGGGTATCCAAGTGGGCTAGCACCGCCCCTTTACCTTTGCCAAGTTTGGTCCCATTAGCTTGTGAGTGAGGATAGGAATATAGTTGTAAACAAGGGATCCCGAGGGGAATTAGGAACACAAAGAGTATACTTTTGGAGGTATTATAACAAAATATAGAACTTTTTTACTGCAATTAGACACAAACGTAGCTCTATTTTAAAAGGGTTTTGTATGTAAAAATAGGATTATGTCTGTGTGTATATATATGACTGCTAAGCGGAACTGTATTGTGAACACGGACTAATAGTGCGATCATACATAGGTGAAGCTAGTGAAAATATACAAGTTAATATTACCTCATCAATTGGACGTGGCACAACAAGGATATGTTAATTAAAACTGCGAACAATGGATAAAATGTAACATAGTGCAAGTAACGCAACAACAATCTAACAAGGGTTATTACTTAGGATTTAGTGAGGGTGCGAACAAAATAACATCAATTACTGGGAGGGGGATAGAGGTCAACACTGAGTCTGACTCTCTCCTGGTCCAAAACAGGGATCTAATTCCTATGAAGAAGAACAACCAGAAGTACATAACCCGAATCCATACTCGAACTAAGCAACCCTGTAAGCCTACTCTTATACACTCATTATGCTTGGATGACCTCGTGAAGAGGTTTGTCTTCCCGAACGCCCTTGTTAGGGGACTACGCCGTATAGAAAAGGACACCCCTAGTCCGCCTGTGAAATTAGATCCTGCTAGCTCAAGAACTGTGGAATAAGTTAGCTGGAAAGTATATATACAAAGCTACAACTGATAGAGGATAAAAACGAATGGGTGAAATGGTAAAAAAGTTTTCATTAATGAGATTTTGACACATACTTAACTGTGTAACAACATAGCCTACAAACTTACTGAAATATAATATATAATATAATATATTGTTTCGTTTTGTCGCGAATTCAATAAGACGAATATAATAATGTTTGATTATGTTCGTTGGGACAGCGATAAGTTTATGGACTTGCAACGCTAAATTCCGGGGCTAGATTCTCCACGGTGGACACAATAAATATCCCAAAGTGTCTTTGCTCTCAAAACCAACTAACCGATCTTTTCATCAAACTTGCGCACACCATAAATAATTATTACAGCTTATACATTTTTTGTTTTTCAAATATTAGACCATGACTACAAATGCTGTATGAGACTGACGTGGTTGTTATGAAGTGCAAGAATATGTAACTTAAATTTTGACACATACTTAACTGTGTAACAACATAGCCTACAAACTTACTGAAATATAATCCTATAGTGATTCAGGTTATACCTGTGTATGTTCAACTAACTCCTCTCACGGTTCTGTAGCTATCTTGGCAAGCGAACTTGGGGTAACCCGGGAATTGTCTTTATCTGTATGGCGTAACCCCCTACCAATGAGGCCAAAACGCCCTAGGAAGACCACCCAGACATCGTTGAGGTCAAAGAATAGGTTTTCAGGGCCGCTAAACTCGAATTTAGCATCGGACTTTGTGTTCCAGGACTTCTCGAGATGCGGTGGCGTCAAGTTTGAAACTGTGTTCATATCCACGTATAGAAGCTAATGGAATCAAATTGTACTAGCCGTTATCTGTATTGGCCGTCCCTAATTTAGCAGCAATAGACTAAAAGGAAGACGGCTAATCAACACCACCTATCGCCAACTCTTGGGCTATTCTTTTACCAACGACTAGTGGGATTGATCGTCGCATTATAACGCCCCTACGGCTGAAAGGGCGAGCATGTTTGGTGGTACGGGGATTCGAACCCGCAGATTGCGAGTCGAGCGCCCTAACCACCTGGCCATGCCAGACCCAGGAAAATACACACACACACTGAGCAAACAATTAAAATGTTAAAATATCTCAGACTAAACAACAACAAAATAATATTCATACTTGACCAGAGTGAAAAGTTTTCGTGAAAGACGTGTTGAAAAATAAGTCTTAGTCATTATTATGTGAAAAATGCTTTATATTGTTTCGTTTTGTCGCGAATTCAATAAGACGAAGATAATAATGTTTTATTACGTTCGCTTGATTTCAGGCGGCCCCGGTGGGACAGCGATAAATTTATGGACTTACAACGCTAAATTCCGGGGCTCGATTCCCCCGCGGTGGACACAATAAATATCCCAAAGTGTCTTTGCTCTCAAAACCAACTAACCGATCTTTTCATCAAACTTGCGCACACCATAAATAATTATTACAGCTTATACATTTTTTGTTTTTCAAATATTAGACCATGACTACAAATACTGTATGAGACTGACGTGGTTGTTACGAAGTGTAAGAATATCTAACTTAAAAGTTATTAAATATCATTAAAGATAACTATTCAAAGATATCAATAGCACGTGTGCTAGAGATAGTTTTCATTTGCAAACATAAGCGAAATTTTATATGTATGCATATGTTTTTACTTTTTAATTTAAGAAACTGAGTCATCAGTAGCCTAAGTGATATTGCTTCTAAACGACACGTGTTACATGTAGCAATATTTAAAGCCTTTGCAAGATTGTGTTCTTGTATAAACAAGTTCTTTAGCAAAATCTAAAAAAAAAAGAAAATGTAAATCTTGATTAACTAGCGAAATATTTCTTAGGATCATTAAAATAACGTATATGTGTGTATTAATATTATTTTTGATTTGTTAATATATAATTTAAAAGTTAAAGAAAGCAGATGGCATTAAATTGACAGCAGTACAGAGCTGTTTCAGAATGGCGGTTGGCGTGACGAATAAAAAATATCAGCTATGTAGGCCTATTGATGTAGGAACCTGGGGTCAATTAATGGATAATATATTCAGTTGTGTTTATTATAAAACAAAAAATGTTAAAGGCAAAAGACAGTTTTGCACTCTCGTTCCGATTCATTTGTATCAGAAGTATTTTGTGTAAATGCAGCATTTGCGTGAGTGTAGCTAATAAATACGTTAGCTAAATCTAGTTATATCCAGTTCTATATTAGTTTGTATTTTACTATGGGTTCCCTGTGCCTTACCCAGTGTGGGTATCAAAACCCCATTTTTAACTTTATAAGCCCTTGGACTTAATGCATTTAAACAGTATTTAGTATGTGAAGTGTTTCATAATTTAATGCCTCCAGTTGACTTAGCTGTAAGAATGAGAGGCTATAATGCTAAGAATCGGGTTTTAATACCTGCGGTAGCCAGAGCAAAGATGGACTATTGTGTAGTTTTGTTAATAAATTTAAACAGATAAACAGTTATATAATGGTAAATGTGTCTAGTGAGCGGGTGATAAGGTGGACATGATTGGATGAAAAGTTAAAGGATTGGATAGACAGACTGACTGGATGAAAGTTTAGATGAATGAGTAAAATTTTCACAAGTAAAAAAAAATGCTGACTATTTTGATGACTTGTCACAGGGATGAAAAGTTTGCTTGACAAATAGCTCTGTTGATTAAAAAAAATGGTGCAAGGGTTAATTATTGGTCCAATAAGAAACAAACTGGCCAGTATCTCTCAGAGTTTGAGGTTTAGTTAGACAGAGTGGCATATACTAGATGTACGTCTGTGTATGGACATAAGGATTAAAGGAAGTACAGACAAATAAGTGGAGAAATAGAAAAGCCAACAGGTAAACATATGTAAATGAAATCTTGCTTAATTAGTGTAAGAGTTTTAAGAACTTAGAATAAATGTGCAAATCATCCGTGAGTTGTTTTATACATAATAGAAGCAGTATAGCTGTGAGTACAGGTTTGTTTTAATTGGGTTATTGTTATTGACTTCATAACTATATACAACAATACACCTATATTAAATTTTATGAGAAAAATCACGTACACTGTAGGTATTTTTCCACATTCCTCTTAATTTGTACACTTCGGATTCGAAATTAGATGTGTGAAGAAAATAGCATTTGAGATATATATTTTGTCTCCCACTAGTTACTGCCATAGAGGACTTTCATTCAATACCAGAACTTTTCAGTTGGGCTGGACGATGACAGACAAAAAATTCTCTGAAACTATTTATATACAAGATAAATAAAAAATTGGAAATTTGAAACTTTTCAAATAGGGATAGTAAAAAAGTAAGGAAACAAGGCTGGAGATACTGTAGACATTGTTTACTGAAACTACAAACCCCTGTTTTGGCTCCATGCTCTTACCTAGAATTACATTTGGGGTAGTCAAAATAAATATTTGTAATTTGAGTAAATAAAGTCTACAGTATCTTCAGCCTCATTTCCTTGCTTTTTTACGGTCCCTATTTGAAGGTTTTTAAATGCCCAATTTTTTATTTATGTTTTTTGCTGGCTTTTTTATGCTCAACTATAGCCAAAGGATTACTTAATATGGTAGCTAACTTTATATATTGTAATGATAATAAACTGATACGGATTCATGATGATTTACTGTAGCTATTGACTATTTGATCGCATTACTTCGAGATGTAAAATGTTAAGCTGCAGTTGGAGATTGTCATGGAGATTTATTTGAGAATATAATGAACATTTATAATTAATGTGTAAATAAATCTCTATATATAATGCATAGCAATGGGCAGATATGTGCCTAGACTAAGACACAGCCCCCACTAGGCACGTATAAAATCTTACCTGTAGAAAAGCAGCCTTTTCAAATAAAACATTGCTTTAAAATACCTTCGTGTCTTTTAAAGTAATTATTCTACGACAGTGTGCGTGTAAAATTTAATATCATCTGTACTGATTTTTTTTTTACTCCTTCAGTTCATACATAATATAGGGGTTGACTCCCTAAAGACGCCGATTGTATAGTGTACAAAGCATTGTGGATCTATATATTACAGTCATCTAATGTTCATCTACTATTGACTGGTAATTCCTGGTTCTCCCTGTACTTAACCTTTTTTAAAGGAACAGCAGATATTTGTAAGAAAGCTAACTTCAAGGGGGTAATGATAACATCTTTTACATTAGAATTATGATGTTGTTTAGCTTTTATAGAATATAGAAAAAGCATATAGACTTCTCGATATCCCTATGACCTCCCCAGTACCTTTTTTGGTATTCTACAAAAGGTTTGGGAGCAATATACCAAGCCTTTTTTGTTGTACGCTGGCAAGAGAATAACAAAAAGAAGAATTACAAACAGGCCGTCTAACATGCGTGCTTTTCTATATGTGTATAGCCTTAGCAGTCAATAGTAAATGTTTTAAAGTGTTGTTTGAACCGAATCTTTACTGTTTAAGGTGCTTTCTGCTCGAACGTTCTATTAGGATTTTGTGCAATCCCTTGCGATCCTTATTATTAGGAACCACGATAGTGGTTCGTAATATCCATTAAGACTCGCGGTTTAACCGTCGAAAGCTAGCGAAGCATTAGCAACCAGGATAAAAAGTATAAATCTGAAATGCTATTTTTGCATACCTGATTTTCGATCCGAATTGGAAAAAAATAAGAAGAATGTAAAAAAAAAAAACATTATGCACTTTACGTGGTTTTTATCACAAATTTTAGGCCTATCAGTTTTTTGTGCTTCGTAGACTTTTGGAGTTTAAACTGTAACTTTTAATACATGTAGTTTGTATTAGACTGAACTATATGCAACAATATACAGTTACTGACACTCAGAAATATTAGGTCGTCAAGAAATTAACGTCGCTTTTTTTAGATTAAAAAACCCGAACATATATATATCAAACAAAACATCTATTAACTGAAATAGTCTCCCTTCTTATCGATGATGCTTTTCCATCTTATAATGCCCCCAGTAGCACAGCGGTATGTCTGCGGACATACAACGCTAGAAACCGGGTTTCGATACCCGTGGTGGGCAGAGCACAGATAGCCCATTGTGTAGCTTTGTGCTTAACTTCAAACAAACCATCTTATAATGAGGTTGTTAATGCCCTGATTAAAGAAATCACTTGGCTTAGAAGCAAAAAACATGTCGATGTCCTCTTTAACACCTTCCACGTTTGCATACGTTTTCCAATTAAGATGGTGTTGCAGCGAACGAAAAAAATGACAATCTGATGGTGCCATACCTGGAGAATATGGTGGGGGGGGGGGGGAGAACTTCCCAACCCAACTCCATAATCTTGTGTTGCGTCAGACGTGCCACATGTGGA